GGAAAGCCAGCCCACAGCTTAAAAGCACTCTTGCCAGCCAACCCCAGAACGCCACATGGCTAAGGCGGATAGGCTCGAATTTGCTGATGCAAGTTTGAATTTTAGACCAAGCCAAATAAGGAGTTGTTTATTCCAGAGAGCGCTTACCCTCGGGATGGTGGAAGGCGGAAACCAGCGCCATCTTTAAGGTGCGGCGCATTGCAGCTCTCCACAAATGAGTAAGCACCCTGGGCTGGTTTTGAACTCATGATCCTTATCCTGCCTCAGCCTCCCAAATTCTGAGACTTCAGTTGTGCACCACCACCCCAAATAGCTTCCACCTTTTTTTTGAACAAGGTTAATTGAAACCAAATAGAAATAGTTCAGAAGAGATGCCTTGCAATCAACCACAAAAAATGGAAAATTAAATATTATTATCTCCTGCTTTGGCAAATACAGCAATTTCACTTAAAGTCCCCAGCTTCATGTCTAGCAATGTATTGTGTTTCTGTTGCCATTCAAGAGTCTGCTCAGCTCACAGGACCCCAACCACATACAACCACAGCAGCCCACCCTGCCTGTCATCCACAGTTTATCCTCCATGGCTTCCAGCCTAGTACTAGCTCTCTCCTTGTCTCCACAAAGGGACTATGAGCTCCTCTTGATGCCAGTTCTTTAATACATCCATTTTCTTTGTGAATGAATTCCTCCAGGTGTTCTGGGGTGATTGCACTCTATATGGTTAGAGGTATTAGGGGCAAAAGGGAAGTGATGGCAATAGACTTGTTTATTTCTTGCTGGTACTGAGGAAATTACCATGGCAGTATACTGATCTTGAACTTCTTGGCCATTCTCATACAAGTTTAACGTGAAATACTGCAGGATCTTTCTTACTTCATGCTGTAAAACCCATCACAATGGGGTTGTGTCTAAGTCAAGTTCATTGCTGTATTTGTAAGTCTTTGTTACAGAAATATGTCATCTAGCAATCAAACCAGCAGATAGCAGGTGAGGCTGATTTTACAAATCCCATC